TCCTTGAGGTCCCTTCCAACCCAAGGCATTCTGTGATGCTGTCTTTGCAGTGTGGACTTTTAACCTGCTTGGTTCTGAATTCTTCCTGTCGTTCTTGGTGGGCGCTCTGCTCAGACACCTGGTCTGCAGTCTTTGGAGCACAGTCGGCTCACAGGCAGGGGGGTGGGAATTTGATGCTGATTGATTCCATGGCGGAGGTTCCCATGGAGAAAACAAGTCCACCAAGGAGCAGGCTGACCATGGGGAAACTTCCACTGCTGGCTGGCACAGGCAGTGTGCCTCACCTGGGCAGTGTGTGTGGGAGAGGGGATGCCTATCATGTTTTGACACTGCTTTGCATAGTGATGTCACAAGCAAATGTAGGAAATGAGCTGTTAGCAAAGGTGTGAAATGGCTTTGGGCTTCATTGCAAAGCACTGTCTGAAGAGTGGGAGGGGGATTTCCTTGTGTCAAGCCGTACTGAAGTTCCTGCTTGTGTTTTTCCTCAGCACTGGGATGGAAGTCTGGGGTGTCCTTGGGTGTGCTGCCCATGTGGTGCCCATGGAGCTGACAAGGCCATGCTGAACCCTGGCTGTTACGTGGTGTGATGCTGCTGGGCACGCAGACCTCCAGCCATGATGTGCCATCCCTCATGGCTGGTCCTATCAAGCACTCCCCACGTCGTGTTGCACTGGAGATGGGGAGCTGTTGGCAGGAGGCTGCCTGCCTAGAGAGCTGGAAATGCAGCATGAGGAGTGAGAGGTGTCGGAAAATCCAGTGTGTGGCTTTCTCATCCCAGGAAATGGAATCTTCTGGAAATGGAGTGTTGCTTATCTAGAAATGAGGGAGCCTGGAGGGCATCTGATAGGAAGAATGGCACATTCTTTGTTATAAGCTTAGTTGCACTTTAAAAGCACATTCCATTTTGATGGATAAGTGGTAATCCTGAGTGTAACTGGAGGATTGTTCTGCCTCTCTTTGGCGACACAGCACGTTCAGATTGTGGCAATTGCTGTTTGTATGTAAACCATAAAATCATTGGGGGTGGAGACTGCATGACTGTGCGTTTTGGGAGGTGGATGTAGGGAGTGGTGGATGTCAGGATGGAGTCCCCAGATGCCACATCCCCACTGTTCTGAACACCTCTGGGTTGGTGACCCCAACTGAGGTGCTGGAACAGCTGCCCAGAGAGGCTGTGGATGCCCCATCCATCCCTGGAGGTGTTCAGGGCCAGGTTGGATGGGGCCCTGGGCAGCCTGGGCTGCTGTGAAATGTGGAGGTTGGTGGCCCTGCATTGGTGGGGGGTTGGAGCTTCGTGATCCTTGAGGTCCCTTCCAACCCAAACCATTCCATGATTCCATGACTGCTGCTCCCTGGGCAGCTGTGCCAGTGCCCTGCTGCTCTTCAGAGGAGGGATTTTCCCTTATGTCCAACCTTCAGTACAGCGTAGAAAGGAAGAAAAAAAAAAAAACAACCACCCCATTTGTTCACATTTACCTTGAATGCTTTTGGGACTCTAAGAATAACTGCTGTGTTCCAGGTGATGGTGTGGTCACCCACTGAGAAGGAGGAGCAGTGCTGTGAGTGGTGGGATGGAGGCAGCACTGCTGGTGGGAGGGCTGCTGTGCAGGGCCCGGATGGAGCTGGAAGGCTTTGAGATGCTCAGTAATAAAAGCACGTGGAGCTGGTGTGCCAGAAGGGCTGAGGAACCAGAACTACTGGTGCAGGATGTGAAATTGTCTATTATAGGGGCAGCATGATGGGACAGCATGCAAACCAGGCACTACCTGTTTTCTCATAGCACAGGTGAGGTAAAAATGAGGAGTGGGTGTGCTGTGGGATGTAAATGAAGTACAGGCAGCTCCTCCTGCATTGTGCTGCTCTCCAGTGTCACTTAGATAAAAACAACAGCAGGGAGGAATAAAGCTGCAGACTTGGGATGAAGGCTGCAATGTACGAACAGCTGTGTCAGGTGGTAGAAAATTCCCCCTGATGTTTCTGTGAATGGTGAAGTAGCTGTGACTGGCAGTGCAGCGCGCAGTTCAGCACTTGCTGGCTGTGTGGTCGTGGTGCTTCCCCACTCACAGCACTGTGCTCTGCCCCAGGACAGCCCTCCGTTTGGTGTAAGGGGGATGGAGCATTTCTGCTTGGCCCCGTGCGAAAGGAAGAAAGCAGTGTTTACAGCTTTGGATGTTTCCTAGGACCTTGGTAGTGTATGAATGCTCTAGGCAGTTTGTAGAAGCTGCAGGTTTGGTGCAGGAAGATGTGGCCTTGCCCAGGGCAGGCTGCAGCAGCTCTTGCTTCCCTGGTGTCAGACGGTGTGGTTGGGGTGGCACAGCTGTGTCTGGCACTAAAAACAGAGCTAATGCTTCTCATTCAGCAGGACAAATTTCTTCCCTGAAGGAGTGCTCAGGTGCTGGCACAGCTGCCAGGGGATGGGGGGCTGCTGTCCCTGGAGGTGTTCAGGAACTGTGGGAGCACTGGGGGACAGGGACATGGTGGAGCTGGGCTGAGGTTGGGCTTTGGGATCTCAGGGGTCTTTCCAGCCTTAGTGACTCTATGATTTCTTTAATGCTCTGCCACGGAAGGTGTCCATTTGCTTTTTCCCCTTAATGTAGATGTTCTCAGCACACAGAGGGAGTCCCTGGGGCATTGAGGCTGCAGGTGGTGTGGGAAAGGACCGTGTGGGTTTGGTGTGTGTTTGCAGCATCTGATGGAGGAGGAACATTCATGTTACTGTGCAGACAGGAGCTCTTCCATCATATGTGTCCCTGAATCATATATGATGTATTTCCCCACTCCCTGATGAGCTGAGCAGCTCTCCCAGCCCTTGGGAAGGGAACAGGGCCCTCATGTTTTCCTCATTGGAGCGCCCTTCCTTTAGTCTGCCCTGCAGTGGCACTGTTTGCATGGGGCTCTTCCACGGAACACAAAGTGTGAATCTGTTGGGAGAGGAACAAGCGCAGGTAAATCTGCCTCACTTTGCATTCATGAGCAGATACTGAGATGCTGCTTTGTTGAGGCTGACTTGGTTCTTACTGCGCTGAACAAGCTGGGTTCTCTCCATGTGCATTGAAATACTTAACTGGCTCTTCTTTTGCAGCTTGATTCTTTTCCACAGAGTGTTGTGTGGAGGCTACAGGGAATGCTGTTTTGTTATGTATTTTTTGCATAGGTTGACTTGCTTCACACCAGAGGAGCACAAAGCGTGGTATGTCTCAGGCAAATCCTGGGAGGCAGCACGCAGCAGGGGAGGGGATGGAAGTGGCTTCATGAGAGCTGCATGGTGCTCAGAAAACGTAGCCCTTCAGCCATGAGATGAGCACCTGCAGTGCTGCTCAGTGGAGGAACGTCCTAATTGGCCACTTGGGGTTGAATGGTGCATTTGGAAAAAGCAATCGAAGTCTGAATTAGAGAGAAGTTGCTCACAGTTTTTATTGTGTTGGTGTGAAATAGCTGGACAGTCCTCCTGCTGGAAAGGAAACCTCAAAGAGAGCCTTCTGTAGGACTGCAGCAAGGCTCCTCGGCTGTGAGTTCATTCTGTGTAACACGGGGTGTTCTAGACATTCCTAATAAGCTGGTGCACAAATACTTGGTAATTGTTTGGCTTCCTCTTATTATGCATGCATTGTGTTTTGCAGATAGGCATTTTCTGAAGATTGAAGGACCTGCTGAAGGGATCACCTGCTTTTAAGGTATGAACTGCTTTTGTTTTAATGATCCAGCATTAAATCTGTGATTAGAAGTGATGGCTTGGTGCAGCTGCGTGTACACACTGAGGTCTCCTCTCTTCTGGGCCATACATCTGCCATCCAGAGCTCTGGGATCTCATGATCTCCCATGGAAGCTCACCATCCAAGCGTGGCAGAGCCTGGCTATGGCAGGTGGGGTTACGTGGGCTCTGGGACAGCCTCCTTTCTTTGAAAGGTGCTGCATGGAGAGTTCCTTGACTTCTGCAGAACGCACGTCTGACACACACTGAGCTTTTGATTCTGCTGAATCTATCATGAGATCAGCAGTCAGAAGGTGTTGGAGAGGCAGGTGTTCACATGATGTGTTTTGGTGAAGGAACTGCAAATTCTTAATACTGTGCAACCCAAGGGACCCAGATGGATGCTGCACTGCAGTTTGAGGAGTGTTTCTCCAGGTGCTGGGAGTGGGGTCAGCCTTTTACCACACTAATTAATGCTTGTCCTCACCTTAAAATTAAACGTAATCCAAAACTATGAAACAGAGGCACAGACCTGTCCAGAAAAGGCCAGTTTGCCATCATAGTGAATCTTACAATCATGGAATCATGGAATGGCTTGGGTTGGAAGGGACCTCGAGGATCATCAAGCTCCAGCACTCCTCCTGCACGCAGGGCCTCCGACCTCCATATCTGCTGCTGGACCACTGCAATGGTACTTGGTTCTAAAGAGCATAGGAGTCAAAATGCAGCTCAGTTACCACTCTAAACATTAGCAACTGTGACTTATTAAAACTGTCTTGAAGTGACAGTGGCCTCAAAATCTCCTGAGATTTTGTTGTGTGTGGGGGATAAAACAGTTTCTGGAATGCCTTTCTTTATTATTTTGCTCCGTAACTGATGGGAAGAGAGGTGTGAAGTCCCATCTCTTTGGTCAGGCTGATGCACCCATTCCTGACTGAAACCAGCAGCAGCACCAGTTGTTTGTGCCATGTGTTGTGGCTGCCTGCCAGACTGTCTGAAGTCATCCCCTCAAAGCTGTTTGAAAGAAAGCCAAAGGAGCTGGCTTATCTCGCTCTGGGTGGGATGGAGGGGGTGGGAGGGAGGTGCCCAGGTGCTGTGCGTGCTTCTCCTTCTGGCCTCAATAGAGCTGAGGAGGTCACGGGAGGTGGAGTGTCACCTCCTCCCACAGGGAGTTGCTGTGCTGAGAGCTGAGCCCAGCTGACTGCAGAGTGGGAGAGCGCTGTGCTGTCCTCCCTGCGTGCTCCTCTTCTGCACTGCTCCTTTCTGCTTCATTTGGCTGTGGTTTTACATCTGCTGGACTCCTTGGATGTCTTAACTTGATCTTGGAATCATAGGCTCACAGAATGGCCTGGGTTGCAAAGGAGCACAGTGCTCATCCAGTTCCAACCCCCTGCTGTGTGCAGGTCACCAACCAGCAGCCCAGGCTGCCCAGAGCCACATCCAGCCTGGCCTTGGATGCCTGCAGGGATGGGGCATCCACAGCCTCCTTGGGCAACCTGTTCCAGTGCCTCACCATCCTCTGGCTGAAAAACTTCCTCCTCATATCCAACCCAAACCTCCCCTGTCTCAGTTTAAAACCATTCCCCCTTGTCCCATCACCTTCCACCCTCACAAACAGCCATTCCCCCTCCTGTTTATCTGCTCCCTTCAAGTACTGAAGGCCACACTGAGGTCTCCCTGCAGCCTTCTCTTCTCCAAGCTGAACCATCCCAGTTCCCTCAACCTTTCCTCATAGGAGAGCTGCTCCAGCCCTTTACTCAGTTGTATTAACCTCCAAGCAGGTTGAGGCAGTGAGTTTGTTTTCCTTTTCCTCCTTTCTTTTTCAGTTGCACAGAAACAACAGTCACAATACAGGCTGACTTGCAGAGTCCCAGGAACACTCCTGGTTGTACCTCGCGACCTGTGTTCCGTGGTTTCAGGACACAGAAACCAAACAGGTGTTTCCCACAGACTGTATGCAGCAGCTAAAAATGCCTCCTGATGTAACTTATCCGGGAACACCTCGTCCACCCTTGCTGAGTGCCTGAATGAATGAAGGCAGCTTCCTCCCCAGCATCCTCTGCAGCAGCCGGGGGCAGGCAGGAAGCAGTAGGTGCTGGGGCAGGTTGGCTGTTGGCTGCTTCTCAGGGGATGGCCTGGCTGAGGAACATCCAGGCTTCTGTGTGAAACGAAGCCAGGAAACTGCTCATCTCAGAAAGAAATTGGTTCTTCCTTATTTGATCAACTGTTTTGACCGAGCATGGTTCCACACTGGTCATTTTCCAGGCTGGATGTGGCTCTGGGCAGCCTGGTCTGCTGGTTGGCATCCCTGCACATAGCAGGGGATTGAAACTAGATGAGCATTGTGGTCCTTTTCAACCTAGGCCATTCTATGGTTCTGTGATTCCCTGCTCTCTTAAATCACTATCACTGACTGGAGCTCTTGTAGCACTCAGTGTCATTTGGTTATTGTAGCGTGCTTAGGTGGAGAAAGTACTGCTAAAACATTTCCTGCTGGATTAACTTCCATTTTTTGTGTAACTGCTGGAAGGAAACATGCGCAAAACCACATCTTTAGGATCAGTTTCATTGGTGAAGAGCAAACTAGGTGGAGGCTGCTGCTGACATCATTGCATAGGAGTGAGTAGCTGCTGCTTGCTGTGCAACGCCCTGCTCCATCCTGCACAGAGCTCTGCCCACAGACAAGTCTGCCTGGCTAAGAACACCCTGTGCCTTTATGCCAGTCAGGTGGGACTGCTGGTCCTGCTGGGGTTGGCAGGTTGCTGCTGGAGGGGCTGCAGCCTTGTCCGTCCCCTTTCCCAAAAGGATGGGAGGAACTGTGCCCTCTCCTCCTATTTGGGGAGTGCTGAGAACAGACTTGAGATTGAGGCATAGCCTGGGTGTAAGAGAGAAGCCCTTGGAAGAAGGCAGTGGTGTGACATCACCTGCAGCGTATGGTTTCACTTCAAAGAAGAGATGTGGGCAGCACTCTGTATTATAATCTATTTTAAAAAGGAAAAAAAAGGCAGGGGAAGAGGGTTGTTCATACCATACTGAGCAGTTGCCTATTTGGTCCCTTGTTTTTCTCTTTCTGGATGGAAGCTGCCCATGTCAGCACGCAGAGCTGTGGGCATTGGCTGCTGCAGCTGAACCTGCCTCCTAAGGCGGCCAATAGCCCTGGTAACACTGCATGGGGACTGAAGGTTTTTAGTGATCTCTTTCACAAAAACTCTGCTTTTGTTCCCTAACCAGCGCCTTGTTGTTCTGCTGTAGCTGGATGTATTGCTATCAGGAGCACGGAAATGTAAATACAATAACAGCCAAACTGCAGCAGCTACTCCCTTCCTTCTTGAGTGACTTCCTGCTCGTGCTCTAGGAGATGGAAGCTGGTCTTCTGCATTCGTGTGCTTCAGAAATGGGTGCTGTTCTCCTGCTACCGTTCCATTGGGCTTCAGAAACCAAAGGATGGGAGCAGAAAGTAATAGTTACTCTCATATAGGTGCCTGAAGTCCAAGAAGCAAGTTAAGGCCTCGTGCTGGAGCTCCTTTGGTGCTGTCCTGTGCCTGAGGACGGTGCAAGTGCTGCTAACAGGGCATCTTCACAGATGGAATCATTCAGACTGGAAAAGACCTATGAGATCATCTAGTCCACCCATGAACCCATTGGCTTTAACCAGATAACTTGTACCTTTGACCAGGTAGCCACAGGCTGTTAGAGCTGAACCAAGTCTGCGTTCTTCTGCTTGTGACGTTTGAGCAGGGTTCATGAAAGAGTAACTCATACATTGGAGCCATGACTGTATTCCTTCCAGACTTAAGCTTACATGTGTTCCATACTTTAGAGAGCTGTTCCATGAATGTAGATCCACTTGTTCTAGTAACTTAGTTCCTTTTAGCACCTCCCCTACAAAGACAGGCTGAGGGAGCTGGGCTTGTTCAGCATGGAG